TCGCGTGCCACCTGGCCGGCGTCGACTTCGTCCTCGTAGCGATGGTCCGCAGAGCCACCGTCTCCGTCGTGGTCGACGTCGACGTCGCCGTGCACGGACGAAGGTCGGTGCAGAGGACCCGGCTGGTGTATGTTGCCCGACCTAGGACGCCCCCCGCCACCTAGCATCCCGTCACCGTCGTCCTGCAGCTTCACGCCGCTCTCCTTCAGCTGACCGGCTGATAGCAGGTTGGCCTGCACGCCCGGGACGTAGAGCACGTCGGGGATGAGCACCTGCTTCCCGTCTTCTCCTTGCAGGGCGACAATGCCGCGGCCCTGGACGTCTTGCAGAGCCCCATTGAAGCCGCGCACGTGCTTGACGTCGCCGCTCGGCTCCAAGTCGACGAAGGCCTCCTTTGTCCCCATTAGGTGGTGCGAGCAGCCGCTGTCGAGCAGAACCACCGCCGGGTTTGCCTGCACGGCTGCCGCCACCGCCTCGAATTCCTCGCCAGCCTCCGGCGCCAGCGAGACGGTCGGCTCCACAACGCCGACCAGCGAGCACGACGCCTCCTCGTCGCCTCGTCCTTTGCAGCCAAAGGAGGAGTCAGCGTCCTTCGCCGGGGTCGACTTGGTCGACTGCTTCTCCTTGCACGGCTTGCTCTCATGACGAGGGCGACGCCCGGCCGACCTCCCTCGGCCTCCTTTGGTGTCGTCGTCGTCGGAGTCGTCGCGGTCAGGGCACTCGAAGGAGAGGTGGTCAGGGTCGCCGCACAGCCTGCACTCCCGGCATCAACTTTCTCCTCCACGACCGCTGTCCTTGGCCGACCTGCCCTTGTCGGCGTCCTTGGCCGGCTTTCCACCTCCGTTACCACCGCCGCCAAGTTTGCCGCGCTGCTCCGGTCGGCCTCCTTGCTTCGTCGGGGTGACGTAGTTCGCCTGCGGCAGGAGCTCCGTGGACGTCTCGGCCTCCTGACTCGCCTTGTCCCTCAGGATGTACGAGGTCAGCGATTCCTCGTTGAGTGACTCCCTCGTGCCCGGCACCACCGTCAGTCGCTTCATCATGTTGTAGCTGCTCGGGAGCCCTTGATGACGTGCGTGATGTACGACGCTGTCGAGTGTTCGATGCCGGCCATCCGCATGCAGGCAAGGAGACGCCGAGCTCGGTTGCATTAGTCGGTCCTCGTCTCTTGCTCGCCCATCCGCAGGTGCGTTATCTGCTCCTCCAGCTGGCCGATGTACAGGTCGTCGGTGACCTGGTATGTCGACGTGATGAACCGCCACGCCTGATGTCCGGCGTCCAGGTGACGCCAGCATGACTTCAATGCGATCTGCACCAACGGCGAGCAGCACCGCGAGATGACCGTGAAGGTCAGCAGCTGCACGGCGTGGAACTCCGCACGCAACTTGGCGTTGCTCTCAGGCGGCGTCTCCACTGTGCCGTCGGCAAAGCACATCAGCCCGGCCATCTCCAGCTGGGGCTCGATGGATTCCTTCCACGTGAGAAGGTCATGACGACCGACCAGCGGCGCCGTGACGGAGATCTTGTCCGGCGTGAACTTGAAGTACACGTAGGTCGGCGCGATCCCTCCTGCAGTCACGTGAGTCGCCGACGGCGGCGTCACACTGCTTCGACGTCCGCTGACGTCGCCTTGCGAGAAGCCCGCAGCCGCCGACGACTGCAGCCCTCGCGCCTGAACGCCGCCGACTTCAAAGTCGGCCGTCCGGAACACCCCTCTCTGCCTCGACGTGCCTCCTGCGCTGTTGCCGACTTGGTCACCGGCGTTGACGCCAACGTCGACGCCACCTTCGTTCTTCACCAGTCGAGGAGAAGCAGGCCGAGAAGGGTGTTCCGTCGCCCACTTTGCGCGGATACCAAGCTCGACGACCTCCAAGGGGAGGGTCTGTCCATACTCACCGTCCTCGTGGCATCTCCTCGCAGCAGCCAGCCGCGTCTCCAGGGTATCCACTACGCCTGCGTCACCTACGGAGCCAACCATGGTGACAAACGCAGCTGCCGGCCTACGAACAAGATAGGTAATGCGCAACTAAGTCGACTAGACTGAAGGTAAGTCGCGGTGCCGTCCACGCTCACCGCACCATGCGGAGATAGCTAGCACAACGGGAGCTTGACTACGGGGAAGGCACGGGGTGTTGGGGTGATCTTTGCGTTCCTTAGTTGTTTGCTCGTGTTCACACTACTTGCGCATTCACGGGGAAATTTGGCAAGAGTTTCACTAGCAAAGATTGACAACAATGGTTCACAATACAAAGCAACAATGGACTAAATCAGATGCTAGCAAGCATGCAGGCCGACTGCCAGCGCAGTACGGTCGACCGCATTCCAGAACTCCAAGGTCGACCGCGCTCCAGCAGGGCAAAGTCGCGGTCTGCCAACGCTGCAAGTCGACGGCGTGCCAACGCTGAAGCAAGGCAGCTGAACAGCGTTGCATTTGCAGGACAGCAATGCACCTCCTTCGCATATGCTCGCAGCTGGTTGGCGTGCTGTGCCTCGTCTCGTTCACAGCGCAGACGCCAAGCTGACCACGTGCCCACGACAGCACCTGATCCTCCACGTCGACCTCGAGATACCACACCGAGGTCCGCTTTGCAAGAATCTCTTGGGCGACTCTCGCGCACCCCGCAGTGCCCGTCGCCCGGGTAACTGAGTCGACCGGGCAACCAGGTTGACGCCACTTGGTTGGCGTCCAGGCGCCCAGGTCGGCGTCCATGCGCCCAGGTCGGCGTCCCCATCCTCCCAGGACGACGACTGCCGTCGTAGACCCCGGTTGAAGTCGGCCACCGGCGCCCGGCGTCGGGGGCTTCGCAGTGGCCCCCGTGCAGGTCGACCAAGCCGCCGAGCAAGTGCGCAGAAGCGTAAGGAACAGAGCAGCCGCCAATCTACCGTTCAATTTGTGAACCCTCCCCATAGTCGAATTCCACTTGGAAATATTGGCTTGGCGGATCGCTATGAAGTCATTGTGGTTGTGCAGCGAGTGCGCTCCCCCGCAGGATCCGCACTTGAGTGCGGGATAGTAGATGAGGAACTTCTGGTGACGCGACAACTCGACAAAGTGACGCCACCGATACATGCCATTCTGGTGAGAGATGACCAACCCCTTAATCCGACCTCTGTCTAGGCCCGAGACTAGGTTCACCACCCTGTGGAAGCAGTGGCCTTCCTAAAAAATCATCGTCTTCTTTGTCAGAAGTGGTGAATCCACCAACAGTTCTTTCAGCATGGCAGCAGAAACTTCCGCAAGGATGCCGATGAAAAGAACTTCGATACCATCCAGGAGAGTGGATTTCGCCTTGACATACTACGGGTTCTACGGGAACTGCCAATCCAAGGTAACCTCATTCCGCCAGACAAATTTTGCATTAGCGGTTTTATCAAACGTGACCTGCATCCTTCCGAAAAGCCGCCTGGCGAGGTAAGCCGAAGGAAGCTCCTTGGAACTTTGCTGTAGCGAGCACATCTTCACTCAGGTGCATCTTCTAGAGCGACAACAAAGTCTTAACCGTCGCCAAGGTACGCGGGGCTTCCTGCAGGTGCGTGTCATGAACAGGAAGCGTGATCGGATATTTGCAACAAGCAGCAAATTCTCCCTTCCTTTGATCCTCAAAACCCTCTCCAGGATCGTCGCCATGGAGACCATGATCCTCGTTCATACACAAGACAGCCGCCAAAGCCGCGCCAACATTATCGTCTGAGTCATCTGAATCTGACCCAACAATCAGTCGCTTTCTCCTTGGCGTCCTTGAAAGTCACCTTATCCACATTTGCTTCCTTGTTCTTATCACCCTCCATGTGAACTGCTGCCAGCTTCGCTGCCAAGGAGAGCGGGGCGACCTCATCCGTCGGAAAAGGCCCCGTGGGAGGCTTAAGTGACGGCGTCATCATCGTCGAGCGCGGTGGAGCAGGAGGCAGCACAAGTGACTTTAGAGGAAGCGAATCCAGGGGAGCATAAAAAACAACACCCTCTTCCGGATGAGCATGCTTGGCCATTGTGCGATGATGAAACAACCACCACAGCCAGACGAGTTCCGGATACTGGTCAGAACTGAGCACATCACAGCGTAAAGCTCCTCCTTTGAAGGCAGAACGCTCCAATACACGAGGAACGCGGAGCACCTTTGGAAACGTCGCGCCATTGATTTTAAAAATACTGGGAATGTACGCCTTGGTAGGATCTGGACCTTGAGATAGACGGTCCTTGCGAATGTAAGATTGTAATGCCATAACTCTGAACACTTGCGCAATGTAGCCATGTTGATGAGACTCCACGCCTAAAAACCGTAACATCATCCGTATGCATACTTCCGTATGGCCATTTTCTGATGAGAGCGCCTTGGGATTTGGAGATTCAATGTCTTCGGTGTAGACATAAAGTTATAGCTTCCTGTTCCCTGAGTTAAAACCAGGGTGCACATTCAATTGGATTTCTGTCAAAGGTTAACCTTTGACCTCGGGGTTACTCAGTGATTTAGGAATATCTGGGGGGAGTGTTCGCTTCAGCAGGTGAACATTTGAACCCTCGAGATTTGGCAAATGTATACCGAAGTCATCGAATGTGCTTCCGCCAATTCGTTTCCCCCCTCCCCATACCTATTCCGCTCCCACCAAAATTGTTTCCCCTTCCCCCACAATATCGTCTCACCCCCTTTCCCCTTTCCGCCAACCCAGTTGCCCTCCCCTTGATCCCCAATTTCTAGATCCAAGTGTTATCAATTTCTCCCCTGCCAAGCCTCATCTCTCACGGACGAAAAGCCCCATGCTCGCCCATTCTCAACTATTTATTCGCTACTCGTCAACCAATCAGCAGTTCCCGCAAACATGCCGCCCAAAATTTAGCCTGGAGTCGTGTTGAATGTGTACCCTGGTTTTAAGGCAACGTAAATGGTAGTGTTCAATGTCGGAAATGGAAAAAATAAGGTGGACATTGTGGGCTCCGAAACGCCTGATATAATTTATTGCGGAGAGGTTATAATTATAGCTGTTTTTGAGTGGTTCGAAGCCCAAGCATGAGGGAACGAGAGGTCTCCATGCATGCAATGTTGGCTCATGTGTGGGTGAGGTATTTGTACAGGAAGTTTTTTCAGTGATAGGTATTCCTGGTGCGCTTGTCCACTGTATACAACTCAACACAATGAGAGCCATCTAGAGTTAATACGCGTACACACCATCGAGAACTCCACATTTTCCTCGTCACCTTCATGAACTTGAACTCGCAAGCGAGCCTGGGACAACGCCTTGCGACGATCTCACATAACTTGTACTCATAATCCACAGGATTCCGCACGTAACTAGAAAACCCACGTCAGTGCTTTAGACGCTAGTTCCCTTAGAGACGTTTTTTCATCCACCGGTAGTCACTCTCGCTGTCTCGCCAACAACCAACAGCGTCCCCGCTAAACACGACCATAAACGTATCATTCTCGCGTCAATCGGATTGGCAAGGGTAGCCAACGGATTCAATTGGCAAGGGTAGCATGGTACGTGGATCGGATACCTCCTATCGACCCGTGAGACCCCCGTCGCCCACGCTTCGTCTCGATACCAACACCTCCCTGGCTTACGGGTGCTTTACCACGTCGCTTTTGCTTCCCCACTTCACCCGCTCGAACCCTTCGTTACCTGCACTTCGGCACCCGCACTTCCCCTAGTCACCCACGCCTGCCCTCGTCATCCGCGCTTAGGGTCGGAACGTGATCATCCGCGCTTCCCCTCGCCACCCGCGCTTCCCCTCGCCACCCGCGCTTCCCCTCGCCACCCGCGCTTCCCCTCGCCACCCGCGCTTCCCCTCGCTACCCGCGCTTCCCCTCGCCACCCGCGCTTCCCCTCGCCACCCGCGCTTCCCCTCGCCACCCGCGCTTCCCCTTGCCACCCGCGCTTCCCCTTGCCACCTGCGCTCCCCTCGTCACCCGTGCCTACCCGCGTCACCCGCGCCTCCCCTCGTCGCTTGCGTTGCTCCTCAACGCCCTCGCCTCTCATTGTCGCCTCCGCAGCAGCCACGCGCTCTCCTACCCGAGTCGGCCTAGATTCCACCGCCGGAAGCGACTGAGGCATACTCCCTCGCTTCTTCCCGTCGCCATCGGCCCCCACATATCCGCCTCCACATATCCCCCACACACCACCCACCTTCTCCCCCCACACGTGCTCCTCCGTATCCCCCACACACCATCCTCCATCAAACTCATCTCTCGCCCTCCTTTCAGCTCTCTGTTTCTCACTCTCTCGCTCGCTCTCCCGCTCTCCCACTCACTTTCTCTCCCTCAAGACCGCCCGCATTCCCCCCCACGTACCACGTTCCTTCATCCCAAACTTCAACGCCTCCCTTCAGCTCTCCCCCTCTCCCTCTATCCGTACCTCGACCGCTCACGCCCTATCATCAACTCTCCTTCTCCCCCTCTCCCCCCCCTCCCCCACTCTCCATCTCTCCCGTCCACTTGAACCTCCCCCCCAGCTACGCCGTGCACGAGCTCGGGCTGACATCATCCAAGCCGACCTGCAAGTCAGCTAGACTCGTGGGACAGGTGCGTCCATGGCCCTCTCTGCCTGCCTATCATCAACTTCCTCCTCCTACTGTTGCTGCCCCTGTTCCTGCCCCTGCTCCTGCTCCTGCTTGTGCGCCTGCTGCTAATGTTGCTGCTTCTGCTTCTGCTCCTGCTGCTGCTACTCCTCCAACTCCTGTTGCTGCCACTCCATTTTCTGGTTTGCAATTTCAAACTGGTGCAGGTTTCGTCGTGCATGGATGAGTCGTTTCCCAGAGTCTCAGAGGTACCTGTCACGTGGAGTGGAGCATCCTTGCGCATGCTCAGCTCGCTACCCTTTCCCACTGTCCCTCCCTGCCCACTGTCCCTCCCTGCCCACTGTCCCTCCCTGCCCACTGTCCCTCCCTGCCCACTGTCCTCGCTGCACTGGAACTGCCAAAATACTCATTCGCCAGGTGGTAGTGATATGGCCGGCGGGACTCGGCGAGCTGTAGCGAAGGACGTGATTGTCTTAGATGACAACGATGACGATAATGATAACGAGGATGACAATAACGAGGATGGCATTGACGAGGTTGAGACTGACGTGGTGGAATGGCGCGGTGGCGTGGAGGACACGCGACCGACGAGGGCGAGGGGAGCGGAGAAGCCGTCGGGGAATGACAGAGCGGCGAGACGAGTGCCAGGTCGGCTGGCTAAGGGCAAGGGAAAGGTGGAGGAGGAGGTAGAGGAGGTAGAGGAGGAGGATGAGTGCGTGGAAGTAGTATCAGGCGCGGGACGCGCTAAAAGCAGTCGCGTTACTAATGGATGCAGTGATGCAGGCGCGAATGCGAAGAGAGGAACGAAGCGGGACCGGGAGGAAAGCGGTAAGAACGGCCAAGATGGGAGAAAGGGCTAGATTGTTGTGGTGGGCTTCCGTCTGCCGCGTCTCCATGGCTCCCTGCATCTTCCTCTCTCCGCCACTCTCTCCCGTCTCTTCCCCTCCCAACTCTCCAGCCTTAATTCTCATCATTGCGTTTTGCATTCTTTCAAAGTCCATGCGCCCCGCTCCTCCCTTCATTGTCCGCTCCTTTATTGCCCCACAGGCGAAGCGTCAAGGCAGCTTCCGCCCCCGTCGGGGTTTCAAGCGCAGCGCATCCGGGCGATGGTGCAAGGCCGCGGGTGCCAACCCATGGGCCGGCCGGCAGATTACATCCCTTCCTTCCGCGCTGCCGCCCTCCTTCCTCCTCACAACAAAGCACCTCCTCCTCATCATGCCACCGCCAGCACCAGCAACAGCCAGCAACGTGCTGGTGGTTGTGGTGGTGGTGGTGGTGGTGGTGGTGGTGGTGGTGGTGGTGGTGGTGGTGGTGGTGGTGGTGGTGGTGGTGGTGGTGGTGGTGGTGGTGGTGGTGGTGGTGGTGGTGGTGGTAGAGATGGTCCGGCCTCTTCCTTTCTCACCAGCCAAAGGGAGGCACGAAAGCTCAGGCTCGTTGATCCTGACCCTGACACGCTGCAGTGCGATCTGAGCCGTCGGTCGGCCGGAGCTGCGCGCGACCATGCAGATGGCAGCGAAAGGGGGTTGGATGCACTGTGGCAGGGCATAGTGAGCGATGCAACCCTGCGCACACGCGGGGATGCACGTGCACCTGCTGCTGGGCGGACTCGTGGTGCTCATGCAGAGGGTGCTGGAAGTCGAATGGCTGCTGCTGCTGCTGCTGCTGCTGCTGAGAAAATACCCGTGTGCAGAGCCCCTGGCATTGCTGATACAAGTGGTAGGGGTGAGAGAGGTAGTGGTGGTGATGAAGTTGCGAGTGACAGATGTGAAAGAGGAGATAGAGGCGGGAGAGATGGTTGGGATGGGCTGGGTGGGTTGGCGAAGGGTGAATCTAATGCAAAGGGAGCAGCAGAAAGGCCTTTGGGTAAAGGCGAGGTGCAAGGTAGAGCAACGCGAGGGAGGGAAGCTGGAGGGAGAGAGGATGGTGGGAGAGAAGTTGGAGGGAGAGGGAGTGTGAGAGACACTGATGGGAAGTGCGGGCGAAGGAGAGAGGTGCGGAAAAGCGACTATACTATAGGGGCGGAACGTGGGGCAGTAGCTGAGACCCTATGCAGGAAGCATGGTGGGTTTACCAGTGGTGCGGGTGCAGGGTCAGAACGCCCACGTGTGTGTGACTTGCCGGGTGAGGCTCTATTGGAGAGAGGTTCGTTGAGGGATGCCAGTGGTGGGGATATGGTGGCAGGTGCGCCAGCTGGAGGGCAGAGGCAACGGCAGGGAATTGGTGGTGCTGGAAGTGGAAGTGAAGGGAACGATGAAGGCTGTGAAGGAAGGGGCCAAAGAGAGGTGGGCAGGAGAGGGGGTGCTGTGCGAGGGGGTTCAAGTGGGGTGAGAGCTGGTGGTGGTGTGAGAGGGGCCGGGGAAAGACGGGATGGGGAAAGAGAGGGTAGTGTGAAGGACTCTTTCACCAGGAGCGGGGAGGAGAGCGGGGTGCAAGTGGCGAGCAGGCGTGGTGTGAGTGGGCGAGTGCAGAGCGGCGGGCTGTTGGAGATGTTTGGCGTGGCGGAGGTGGTGCCTTCCTCCAGTGCTGAGGCGTCTGAGGATGGGAGTAGCGAGGAGGATGGAGAGGAGGATGTGGTGGAGGTGGAGGAGGTGAGGGAGGAGGGGGAGGAGGGGGAGGAGGGGGAGGAAGAGAAAGGAGAGGAAGCGGAGCAAGAGGAAGAGGAGGAGGAAGTGGAGGAGGGAGAGGAACGGGAGGAGGTCAAAGGGGGTGTGAGGAATGGAAAGAGAAGAGATGGAAGGAAAGGGGGCGATAGAGAGGAGAGTGGGCGCGGGAGTGGCATGGTAAGGGAGGTGAAGGGCGGATGCAGGAAGAGGGAGCAGGCGGTGCAGGACGCACAGAGGGAATGGGGGAACTGGGGAGAGATGCGACAACAGCAGCCGCAGCCGCAGCCCCAGCAGCGCAAGCAGCAGCAGCAGCCCCAGCGCACTGCGTTCGTGCAAGCATGGGCTGCCCTGAGCCGCACAGCAGCACCTGCTGCCATCGATCAGAGTGTGCAGGAGTTCCGAGCAAGGAAACAGCAACCCACCGCCCTCCCTACTGCGCCCTCTGCATCCCTCTCCACCCCTGTGTCATCTCCTGTGCCGCTTGTGCCTCCCGTGCCTCTCGCATCTCCCCCGCCTCCTGCTCCTCCTGCTCCTCCCGTTCCTCTTGCCTCTCCCACTGCTTCTGCTCCTCCTCCTGCTCCTTCTGCTGCTGCTCCTGCTCCTTCTCCTGCAGCTTCTCCAGTTGCTCCTCCCGTTGCTCCTGCTGCTGGTACCCGTGCTGCTCCTCCTCCTCCTCGCCCTCCGGCTGTCGCCCCACGGGCTGCCACCCCTCCTCCGCCACCTCCACCAGTGCAGAACCGCAGGAGGGCAGCGGCGCTGCTGGCAGCAGCACAGAGGAAGTGGCTGGCGGAGTGCCGGGCGCAGTTTGAGGCGTTTGTGTTCCCGGCGACGGGCACGGACAGCGTGACGGTGCGGTGGGAAGATGTGGAGCGATTGAAGCCAGAGGAGTTTCTCAACGACACCCTCATTGACTTCTTCCTCAAGTGAGTGGGGCGGTCGGACAGTGCTTGAGGTGTATGTGTTGCAAGTGACGTGCTCGGGCAACGTGTGCGCTGGGAAGACGTAGAGAGGCTTAGGTCAGAAGAGTTTCTTAATGAAACCCTCATTCACTTTGTCCTCGAATGAATGCCTCTCACTGTGACTTTTGAGTCGACTCAAAGGTCGAGGCGTTTGTCTCCACGGCGACGGGCACGGACACTGCGATGGTGCGGTGGGAGGATGTGGAACGGCTGAAGCCAATGAATTGCTTTGAATGTCACCATTCGAGGCAATCACTTAAGGAAGAAGTCAATGAGGGTGTCGTTGAGGCACTCCTCTGGTCTGAGTGCCTCAACGACACCTCCATTGACTTCTTCCTTAAAACCCGAGGGTCAAGAAGACCAAAATTGGTTCATCCTTCCTAATGCTGGTTGGGTGTCCCAAAAACGCCTGTGATTATTCCGGAGTTCTTTGACCTCGATGGTTCGCGGGCCAATAGCGTTTTCACTCCCAACCAACCTTCCTAAGGTTGAACTTCTTGGCCCGCGGGTTTTAAGTGAATCCCTCGAATGGCGACATTTGAGTCAATTCATTGGCTTCTTGTGGAGGTGAGTTGGTGGGATGAGGCGAGACTGTAGGTAGGATATGAAAGGAGAGCTCAGCGCAGCCTGTGAGTGGGCTGAATCAGGGTCAAACCGGCTCGTTTTTTACCCGGGTCGAACCTTTGTTTTTTGACCTGTTTCTTCCCCTTATGAAGAACAGCTAGTGTTTTCACATTTCTTCACCCTCCTCTGCGGCTGATTTCCACCCCTCACCCCCTCTCCCCCTCTGCGTGCCCGCAGGCATCCGAAGGTGCAGGCCATTGAGCAGCACCACAACGCCTGCTCCCTTGCTGCACCCGACCAAGCACTGATCTCTTCTTTGAACCCCTGCTCCTCTGTGCCTACCTGCAGGCATCTGAAGTTGAAGGCCATGGAGCAGGGCGCATCGCCTGCTCGCTTTCTGGGCCCGACCACCAGGCACTTCCCCACCATCGCCACCAGCAGCAGCAGCTGATTTCTACCCCTCTCCCTTACATTCCCTCGCTGCCTACCACAGGCATCTGAAGGTGCAGGCCATGGAGCAGCGCCGCATCGCCTGCTCCCTTGCTGCACCCGACCAGGCGCTGCCTGCACCACTGCCGCCAGCAGCAGCAGCGGCAGCAGGTGAGGGGAGCAGCAGTGGTGCAGGCGAGGGCGAGGATGGAAGCAAGGCGGCAGCAGTGGCAGCAGGAGACATGGCCGCTGCTGGGACCAACGCAGTTGGTGAGGCGGCAGGAGGTTGCAAGCAGGCAGGTGGGGCGGGGCATGCGCCCCCCTCGGTGCATTTCTTCAACAGCTTTTTCTTCAAGATGCTCATCGGCGGGGAGAAGGACGACCCCTTTCTTCCTCCCACGCATGCCCGTGCCGCTGCCGCCACCCGAGCTGCTGCTGATGCTGCTGCTGCTGCAGCGGCGGAGGCAGCAAGGGGGGGGAGTGGGGGGGAGGAGGGGAAGGCGGCGCACTGGCGCGTGCGCAAGTGGACCAAGGGAGTCAACCTCTTCGCCTGTGATTTCGTGCTCATCCCTGTCAACCTCAGGTGGGCCCCTTGTCAACCTCAGGTGGGTCCCGCCTGTGTGGTGTGGGCCTCAGGTGGGTCCCTTGTGAGCCTCTTGGTTTTGCTCTTCTGTGGGGCGCAAGTGGACCAACCAAGGGCGTCAACCTCTTCGCCTGTGACTTCCTGCTCATCCCTGTCAACCTCAGGTGAGCCCTTTTTCTGACATACGTGTGTGTGTGTTCCTATGCCCTTCTGTCCTTGCACTGGCGGGTGCGCAAGTGGACCAAGGGGGTTAACCTCTTCGTCCTCATCCCCGTCAACCTCAGGTGGGTCTCCTGTGGGCCTCAGGTGGGTCTCCTGTGGGCCTCGGGTGGGTCCTTCTTGAGCCTCTTTGTTTCGCTCTTATGTTTAGACACATTGATGAATCATGCACGATGTGGGGTGGGGCCACATCTGTACGCTCTCAGCCATACATTCTCTTGTGCAAAGCAAAGCAAACTATGCAGAGCAAGAAGTTTTTTTTGCCTCGCACAATTCATAAGTTTCCATTCCACACTATCTTTCCTGCGCCATTCTCCGTTGCAGCTACCACTGGAGTCTTCTGGTCATCTGCCATCCCAACAAGATCCTCCCAGTCCCACCACCGACATCAACAGCAGCAGAAGGAGCAGCAGCGCCACAACAGAAACCACTGAGACCTGAATCACAGGCACAACCAGCAGCACCTCTGTTGCCAGTCGCTGCAGCAGCCGTAGCAGCCTCAGCATCCACCGCAGCAGCTGTAGCATCTGTAGTAGGGTCATCAGCAGCAGCAGGGGCAGCAGCAACAGCGCAGCCACAACCCCCTCCATCCGCAATTCCCCAGCCGACACCCGCACCACCATCGCATCTACCCCCATCGCCATCCCCACTTGATGCTACTCCGGATGAAGCATCCCTGTTTGAAGATTCCCCTTTGCAGGAATACATCTCCACACAGAGCCCCCCACACTCACCCCAACATCTCCCTGCCTCTCCTCACCGTTCCCAACCGCCTCAACCCATCCCATCACACAATGCTCCAGACCGCCCTCTCCCATCCGGCATCTCCCAATCACCTCTCGCCCCTTCCAGCCCCCACCCATCCCATGCTAGCCTCGATCCTGTCACTTCGACCAGCCCCTACCCTCCGCTCAGCAGCCCCTTCCCTCCTCCTCCCCACGCCCCAGTATCGCCCAAACCTCCTCTTTCTCCGCAGCCCGCCCCTGTCGCCGCCGCTCCCTCATCCCCCACCCACGGGCCTTTCCCATCCCCGCCCCGCAACGTACCTCCCACGCCCTCCTCACACCCCTCTGCTGCACCCCCCGTGCACGAGCCTGCTGCTGCCACCCCCCCGGCCCACGAGGCAGCGCCGTGCATTCTGCACTTTGACTCGCTGCCCGGGCTGCACCTGGATGTGGAGGAGGCTGTTCGCACGTGAGTTGGGCTGTGCGTGCGGGGGATGCCGGGGGGAGCGGTCGGAAGAGTTGGGGGATGGGGGCTGTATCTATTATGCGCTTTGACTCGCTGATTGTTGCCACAGCTGTATTTGCACATGCCACTGTGAGGATGTGGGGTGTGCAAGGATGTGGGGCGTGCGAGGAAAGGAGGATTAGCGGCGAGCAAAGGAAGAGAGGATGATGAGGGACAGAGGTTGTTATGGGTTTGAGTGGGTGCATGGCTCTGTGCACTGACAGGCAATGAGCTGAGGGGACTTGACGCATTCCTCTCATTCCATTCACTGCACCCTTCACCATGCCACTCCACACCATGCCACCCATACCCACCCCACCACCAGGTACCTCCAGGAGTACCTCGTGTGCCACAAGGTGCAGAGCTGAGGCGACTTGATACATTCCTTCAACTCACTTCACCCCTCACCACCACGGTGCCACCCCTCACCACCCATCGCCCACCACCAGGTACCTCCAGGAGGAGTACCTCGTGCGCCACAAGGTGCCCCTCACGCCAGCGCTGAGAAAGGCCTTCATCCGCCTGCCTGTGTTTCGCCCCAAGGTAATGCCAGCAGACTTCTTGCACAATTTACCTTGTCCTTCCTACCTTGTCATTGTCAGTAAGCAGATACGAATATCTAAAGTAGCAGCGCAAGTATTCCGCCTCATAGTGCTACACTGGTAGGCAGGAGCAAAAATCCGAAGTGCAGTGGGCTTCGGACTAATCGGTCGACCCGGAATTCCATTGTTACTCAAGCGTGTAGTGGTCCAGGTCGAACCTGGACCGTTTGTTACTTAATTGCCCCTAGTCTTATCGAAGTGCTGAAGGTTTGACTCGAACCTTGAAAGATCAAGCCCAAACGGGCTCGAGTTCGTAATTCACGCATGTCTATCAATTGATCTCTGCGCTTTTGCCTCTCCTCATCGCTTTCCCTTCCCATGCACAGGTCCCCCAGCAGCCGAATCTGAGTGACTGCGGGGTTTTCCTGTTGCTCTACGCACAGGAGCTGCTCTCCCACATGCCGCTCACAGTCTGTCGCGCGCCTGCCTGCGACCAGTGCAAGCAAGTGGTGAGTGCGCATGGTGTGCTTTCTGCAGAGAGTCACTCTACACCGGGAGTTGGACTACGTGGGGAGACATGGGTGGTACGGGTGATCGTATCGTTCCTTGTGTTCTCTAGTACTTGCATGTTCACAGGGCAAATTGGTAAGAGTTTCATAAAAAAACTTGAGAACAATGATGCAAAAGGCAATGGCAACAATGAATACATCAGGGGCCTAGACAGACAGGTCGATCTCCAGCGCAGCACAGGGGCGGCCTGCCAGCACTGCAAGTCGACACTGTGCCAGCGCAGCTAGGAGGCGGCGTGCCAACGGTGCAAGTCGACGACCTGCCAGCGCTGCACCAAGACAGCTTGCCAGCGTTGCAACTGCAGGTGACAATAGCGCACATGCGCGAACCCACTTCGCAGGTGCGGATCGACGGCTAAAACCAGGGTCCACATTTGATCCGCGAAACCCTGAATCCTGGCGAAATGTAACTCCGGAGGTAAAGTGTCTGCACGAAATTCCCAATTTTTCAACAACCAACACATTTGCGCTAGCAAGGCTGGTTCAAGGTATTCTTTTTTTTAACCACGAAGGCAAATGTGGACCCTCGTTTTAAGCACGTCGTGCTGTCACGAGAATTGCGCAGGTGCCAAGTCAGCCACGTGCCGACAGTTGCGCCAGTTGTGCCGCGTCGACCTCGGATTACCAGCCCGCAGGTCGACTTCGCCAAAAACTCGTGAGCGACGTCCGCGCACCCCCGCAGAACTTCGTCGACTAGGTAACCAAGTCGACCAGGTAATGTCCCCGGCGTCCTCAGGTCGACGAACACCCTCCTCAACCGCCCAAGTCGAAATCGGCCGCCGACTTCACCTCATCGGCGGCTTCACAGTGGTGCCGCGGAAGTCGACCAAGTCTGTCGACTTCCGCTCGCATGTCGGCGTTGACCACTGACAGCAGCCGACTGCACCTCCCGCGCACCCAACCGCGAAGTCGGCTTCGCCCAAGCGAGGGTGGGGCCATTTCCTAGCAACACTTTCTGCATCCTGTTAATGTGCTTGCAGACAATGAGGTTTGAGAGCGCAGATGTGTGTCACTTGCAAGTGGTGCCATTTTTTACCCACAATCTCAAAAAAAAAAAATCAGTAGACGTATTACTCGCCTCGACTTGTGCGAGCAATTTCTTTGAAACTACCGACTTGTTACTCGCCCAAAATGAGAAACGAAAACGAGGCGAGTCTTTTACTTGTCTTGTTGCTCATGCCTAGGCTGAGCATTGCTGCTGCAGCTGCTGTTTCACGTTCTTCCCCCTCTCCTCCTCTCTTTGTTTCTCCGTTCTCTATTCTCCTCCGTTCCCCTCCCTTACCCCTCCCCCTCCCCCTCCTCCGCCCCAGCTGTCCTTCCCTTGGCTGACGCCCGACTCAGCCAAGCCCATGCGGGCCGCCATCCGCCGCACGGTGCTGCTGCGAGCCGGGCTGGGGGAGCTGGTGGGGCGCGAACCACAACGAGAGGAGGCCGTGGTGGGGCGGGAGAAGGAGGGGGTGAGGGAGGAGGGGAGGGAGATGCATAGGGATGGAAGGGAGGAGGAGAAGGAGGAGGGGGAGAGGGAAGGAAGGGAAAATGAGGGGAGGGGGCGTGGGGCGGGGCGAGTGGGAGGGATGGTAGGGCTGTTGTCGAGGGAGATTAGCGGTTTGGAGGGAGAAGGGGGGAGAGGGGAGGGCCCGGATGGGAGTGTGGCAGGACGGGAAGAGGGGCAGAAAAAGGGAACACACGATAAGGGCCAGGAGCAGCAGCAGGAGCAGAATAGGCGTGTGACTCGAAGTCGCAGCTTGCATGCAATCATGTCGAGCCAGGAAGGAAACCCGTCGGTCATTGCGGTGCCTGACAACGGAGGCCCTCTGAAGCAGAGCAGGGTTGGTGGGAAGCGAGAGAGGCTCCTGCAAACGGTGTTAGAGGAGGGCGGGAAGGAGGAGGATAGGGAGGAGGGGGATGTGGTGGAGGTGACAGCGGCGGTGGGGAAGAGGGGCCGGGTGGGACCGGCGGGGAATTGCGGGAAGGGGTGGGCGGATGGAGGTGGGGAAGAAGAGAGGGAAGGGCGTAGAGGACAGGTTTCTCGGAGCTGGTTGTCGGACTTGCTGGATGAGGTTGATATGGAGGAGGCGATGGCGGAGGCGCGAGGAGGGGAGGGAGGGGAGGATGAGAAAGGAGGGAAGGGAGGGGAGGAGGAGAAAGGAGGGAAGGGAGAGGAGGAGGAGAAAGGAGGGAAGGGAGAGGAGGAGGAGAAAGGAGGGAAGGGAGTGGAGGAGGAGAAAGGAGGGAAGGGAGAGGAGGAGGAGAAAGGAGGGAAGGGAGAGGAGGAGGAGAAAGGAGGGAAGGGAGAGGAGGAGGAGAAAGGAGGGAAGGGGGTGGAGGGGATGGAGGTCGAGGGAGAAGAGAAGAAAGATGAGGGGATGCAGGAGAGGCGAAAGAGGAAGGCGAGGCGGGAAACTGAAAAGGATGTGTGGAGGAGAAAAGAGGCTGCAGTAAAAGTGGGGTGTTTGAGGAGTGAGGGGGACGCTGGGAGGAGAGACAAGGGAGTGGGGGGAGATGGAGGGAGGAAGGTGGAGGAGGCTCGAATGGAAGAGGACAAGAGGGAGGAGGTGGGAATGGTAGAGGAAAGAGGAGGTAAGGAACTGGGGAGAAACGTAAGAGAAGTATGTGGAGAGGGGGAGGAAGTGAAGGAGGAGGGGCGTATGGAACAGGTGGGGTTGAGGGATGGCGAGCAGGAGCAGGTGCCAGGGGGACATGGCGGAGAGGAGGAGATGGGGGATGAGGGAGGACAGCAAGTGACAGGTGAGGCGCAGGGAGAAAGCGGCAGATGTAAGGTGTCAGGTGGGGTTCGAGTTGATGCAGGGCATGAGGTGGCACATTATGTGGTGATGAGTGACTCACCCGATGATGATGACGCTGCTGCTGCTCTTCCTGCTGTCCCTCCTCCCCCTCCTCCTCCTCCTGCTGCCACTGCTTCGGCTGCCACTGCTGCGGCTGCTGCTGACGATGGCAATGATGGTAATGGCGCTGCTGCTAGCAAGGCTTGTGGTGGCACCGGTGGTATCGCTTACACGCGGCGTGGTGGGCTGGGGGACGGACACGCTGCTGTACCAAGGAAGCCTGATGAGAATGGGAAGGCATGTGGTGGTGGTGGTGTGGCTGCTACTGCTGCGGCTGCTAGTGACGATGGCAATGATGGTAGTGGTGCTGCTGCTAGCAAGGCGTGTGGTGGCACCGGTGGTATCGCTTACACGCGGCGTGGTGGGCTGGGGGACGAACATGCTGCTGCCAGCAACGGTCGTGTTGCTGTAGCAAGAAAGCATGGTCGGGGTGGCAAGGCATGTGGCGGTGGTGTGCCTGCCACGAGTGCTGCTGAGGGCTCTCAGGTTCCTGCTACAGCTGCAGCTGGGACGAGAGAAGGGATGAGAGAACGGACAATAGAACAGAGGAGAGAAGGGACGAGAGAAGGGAGGAAAGAAGGGAGGGGAGAAGGAACGGGAGAAGAGATGAGAGAAGAGATGAGAGACGGGACGAGAGAAGGGATAAGAGGTAGGAGGAGAGAGGGAAAACGGTTGAAGATTGATCAGGTGGCAGATCAAGCAGGAAGGGAGGAAGAGGAACCAGAGGGAAAGAAGCAAAGGGAACAGGAGGGAGAAAGGAGAGAAGAGGAGGAGGGTATGGCAGGTGCAGCTTGCGGCACTGACCCACCGCTGGCACAGGGGGATGCAGCTGATAAGGCCGACGGGGTGGAGGGGGGAGAGGGAGGGGAAGAGGGTGATGGGGAAAGTGAGGGCGGGCACGGGGGTGGAGGGGTGTGTGGGAGCAGTGAGGGCGGTAAGTGGGCTGATGCTGCTGTGGTTTGCATCAGTGACTCTCCTGAGGAGCAGGCGGAGGAGGAGGAGGAGGAGGGGCCGGAGCAGGAGGAGCAGGAGGAGGAGGGAAAGGAAGACAAAAAGGAGGAGCAGGAGGAGGAGGGAAAGGAAGACAAAAAGGAGGAGCAGGAGGAAGAGGGGGATGGGAAGGAGGAGGGGAAGGAGGAGCAACAGGAGGAAGAGGAGGAGAGGAAGGAGGAGGGGAAAGGGGAGGGGAAGGGGGGTGGTGGTAGGGAGTGGCAGGGTGCGAGGGACATGTGGGGCGATCTGGACTTGCGCAGCGGCTTGGACTCCGCCACTGGGCTGCTTTCCTCACTGCAGAAGGGGAAAGCGGGTGATTATTGTTGCAGTGCACCCAGCCACACACCCAACCACACACCCAATCACACCCAGACTGGAACACGGTGCATGGCAGAAGTGCAGAGGAGCGCGCAGAAGGGGGTAGAGGGGCCGAAGGAGGAGATAGGAGGTAGAGGGAGGCACCAAGGGCCACCTGAAGCACCTGAAGCACCCGAGGCACCTGAAGCCACCGAGGAACCTGAGGAATCTGAGGCAGCAGGTGGACCTAGGGGAGCAAGGATTGAGAGGAAAGAGGGGCACGAGGAGGAGGATGGCCGCAGGGAGGTAAGGCGGAAAAGAGGAAGGATTGAGGTTCCGAGGGGAGTGGGGCTGGCAGGAGGACGAGCAAGGAGGCGGGCAAGGGGGGGGGCAGGGATGCAGGCAGGGGGGCAGGGTAGAGTGCAGAAAGGCGTTGAAGATGTGGAAAGTGGCGGGGTGATGCTGCGTGAGAGGGAGAGAGGAGGGGGTGGTGGGAAGGAGGACGATGAGGATTGTGCTATCATTGGCTGCAAGGGGATGAGGGGCGATGGAGTGAGTGAGGGGACAGGTGCGGAGAATTTCGGTGGAGACGGGGAGGAGGATGAGATGGAAGTGGAGGAAGTTGAAGAGGATGCGATTGTTGAGGTGCGATCAAGGAAAGCAGGTGGAGGAAAGGAGGTTGAGATGGGATTAAGGGAAGTGGGACAGGAGGTGGAGAGAGGAAAGGGGAATAGGGAGGTTTGGAAGGGGGGCGAGAGGGAGAGGGAGGTTGTGGGGGAGATAGTGAAGGGGGTGGGTGCAGCAGAGAAGAAGCGAGCACCGTCTTCCCTGGGAGGGCAACTTGAGGCAGAAGCGGGTTGCATGGGGGCAGGAGAGAGGGGAAGTGATGTGGGTGCGGGGGATGGGGACAGTGGAGCAAGTGTGGGGGAGGAATCGGAAGAAGAGGAAGGTGAAGTGAGAGAGTGTGAGGAAGAGGAGGAGGTTGAAGAGGTGGGGGCGGAAGAAGAGGGGGGAGGGGAAAGTGCCCAAGAGGAGGAGGACGAAGCAGAGGATGATGAGGAGAAGGGGGAACGGTACGAAGGGAGGGAAGAGGAGGACAAGGAGAAGGAAGAGGAGGGAGAGGAGGAAGAGGAGAGAAGGGAAATTGCCCAAGAGGAGGAGGAAGAAGTTGGTTTTGAGACGTTCCAATACCAAGTGGTTGACACGTCAGAGGAAGAGGGGGGAGGGGAAAGTGGCCAAGAGGAGGAGGAAGAAGTTGGTTTTGAGCCGTTCCAATACCAAGTGGTTGTCACGTCAGAGGAAGAGGGGGGGCGGGAGAGTGCCCAAGAGGAGGAAGAAGCAGAGGACGATGAGGAAAGGAGGGGACGGGACGAGGGGAGGGAAGAGGAGAGCGAGGAGGAGAAGGGAGAGGAGGGAGAGGAGGGAGTGGAGGGAGAGAAGGGCAAGAAGGAAGAGAAGGGAGAGAAGAGAGAGAAGAGAGGGAAGGGAGTGAAGGGAAGAGGGAGAAGAGGGTTGCTGGGCGGTGGCAAGGAGAGCAAGTGTGTGGTTCAGAGTGTGGCTGACGATGGACAGGCGAAGCACAGGGGAGCGTCACACAGGCAGGTGAGGGCGGTGGAGCGGCGGAAATGCGAGCATGTTGGTGGGGCTCGCATGCAGGCAGGTGTACGTGGGGCAAGGCAGGCCGTGTGCGGAGGAGAGGAGGCACTGGGAGGGGAGGAAGAAGGGAGAGGTTGCAAGCACACATGCGATCACCCTCAGCAGTAGCAGTGACGAAAGCGATGGGAGCGCGGGGCGTGGGGAGCGTGAGGAGAGTGAGGGGAGTGAGGAGGGAGTGAAGGAGCAAGAGAGCAGAGGAGAGCACGGCAGCAGCAGCTGCTCTGACTCCGAATCTTCGAGGGATGAACGGAGAGTGCGGGCGGACAGGAGGTGTAGGGTGGTGGAAGGGAGGGAGGTAGTGGGTAGGAGTGGTAGGGAAGAAGGGAGGCATATGGCCAGTCCAAGGGAGAGATGGAGACGGGAGAAGAGGGGCCAAGGCGTGGCAGCAGGAGGCATTGCCAGGCGGAGGAAGGCGCAGCGATTACAAGAGCAGCGGTTGAGGGAGAGGGAGCTTGGAGAAAGGCAGGGAAAGGGAAAGCGTGTGCACTCACAAGGAGGGCCGCAGCAGCTTTCGTCGCCTCTTCATTTCCACTCGCCTTCGCTTGTAGCCTTGGGCATGCAGTCGCTCTCCCTTCAATCACCTGCGCCTGCGCTTGTGTCACACCCTGTAAAGTCACACCCTGTACAGTCACATATACCCACTGATCATCCCTCTCACCCCCCTCACCCCTTGCACCCTCCTCACCCCTCTCACTCTTCTCACCCCTCGCACTGTCCTCACCCCACTGCTGCTACATCGGAGCCGCGGCGCTCGTCACGGGTGAGCAAGAGGGACGAGGAGAAGCAGCAGCGGCTGGCAGAGAGGCGGCGAGAAATGGGCGAGGATGTGAGGAAGCGACTGGACGACCTGCTGGAGCGAGAGAGTGACAGAGAGAGTGAGTGAGAGAGTGAGTGAGAGAGTGAGCGAGAGAGTGAGTGAGAGAGTCAGAGAGAAAGAGAGATGAAGTTCTTTCATAACCTCACACGACCAAGATTGAATTCTGCTGGCAAAGGCAGCAGATCCTTCGGCTCATGCAGCTGTTACTCAAGAGTAAACTTCCTTTTTACTCCATGTCCTGGTGGCACAATGCATGACAGTGACCGTGAAATCGCTTGCAAGGGCAAGCTGCAAAATGCAGGTCAGATTTCCCCCCCTTTTTTTTAAGGTACAGTATGAGGTGCTCTGTGAAACATCAGACTTTCGTAAATGGGAAAATCCACTCAGCTTCTCTTGGATTGTATACGCATGTCGTGTGCATAGATTATGCCCGTTTTAGGGAACGGGGGGACGAGGATCAGAATTTTGGAGACAAATGGGAAGAGAGCTTTTTCGATTATGAAAAGGAAGTGTTTATAGCAAAAACTTTTCAATAAAGATCATAGATCCAAAGACCAGTATTCAATGATTGAATTTCAATCCCATCTACCTTATAAATGGTCGCCTCATCCATATCCTTGGTGTATGGATACAATTGTTTCTGTATTCCAACGTGGAAACTCTCCACCCTGTACCGCGATCATGGTCAAGGATTCCCGCACCCCGTTCTCACTGCCTAGCATGCTACAACTAAATTCACCGCTCAGAAACTTACTATAACGTGCCGCAACACAGTATTAAGCTAATGTACCGTGCACAACCTCTCTTGAAATCCGGACTTGGTGAATTAATAAATCCGTCGTGGGGTCGTTCACGCTCCCTTCACCTTCCGTTCTCGTCCCTCCTCGGTTAGTATCGCCGCTGCGCCAGCCGCTTCTCACTACATAAATCCCCCCTCTCCCGGCGTTCACCATGTCTCGCCATTCCACGCATGCTCCCACCTTCTCGCTTTCCCCTCACGTATCGCTTCACTTTGCGTCGCTTCGCGCCATCTCGCATCGGAGCCACCGCAGCAGCACGCCGCGGCGAAGCGTCGGTGCTACTACAAACTAGAGCGGACCGCGGCGGCATCACGTGACTTTTGAGGCGCCTTTAAAAGCGTCGGTGCCGACCACCATCGAAGGGACGGCATCACGCGGTCACCACCCCGCTGCAGCACAGCGTCTCCTTCCCCTCGCCAGTCACCCCGTCTCTCGTCGCCATGGCGCTCGGCCGCCCGCGTTCTGCCCTTCAAGCTTACCTCGCCGCGTTCCTCGCTGGCCTCGTGTCTCTCGCGCTCGTCGCAGAGAGCTCCTCGCCCATCCCAAAAAAGTTTGGCCCAAAAAGCCCCCCCCCGGGTTACCCACAGCTTACCCCCTGGGGGGGTACCCCGGGGTCCTTGTCTAGGTAAGCCGCGGGTAAGCTCTGCAGCTTTCACTTCGCGTGGTGACCCCGAAGTCACCCACAGGTGGTGACCCACAGGACACTACGGACAAACCCCTCCCAGGCAATTGGAACGAATCACACACGAGCCGCTTTCGCGCTATGCAAAACCTCGCCAAAAATACAAAAAATCGCCTACAGTACACTAGACGACACTACAGTAATTCGGCCATACGAAACGGAAAATGCACAAGCAATTTTATAAATGATTACAGGCTAATTGTTCAGGATTTAACATCACTTTCGATAAAGCATTACATATTAATTTTTATAAAACAATTTCGACGTGTTTCATATTTCCAGTGGTGACGAACATAAACCACAATAATTTACAGATAACCAGTTTAGTGGATTACATTGAGCATTCTGCTACTGATAATACTTCAGTCATTCCATTATGTAGACACTAGGAAGTACCGTACAGCTTTGCAACAAAACAATTTCAGTCATTGCACACTTCCTAACGTGCAGATAACGTCTTCACTGTGGAGAGCCTTGCCCATAGCTCAATATCCTGCGTGTTCTGCTGTGCTCCTCAACACATCACACGACGCACGGAAACAGGAACAAACGAAACAGCAGCAACCCAGGGCAACGCAGCAAATCAGCGACATGGCATCGACCAGGATTCTTACCTCACGAATAAGGCAGCCTCCACGGGCATGCAGAGAGAGTGCAGTTCCGGTCTTCGAAATATAAAAAACTCGAAATTGCTCGCCACTGCATGGCATGATCGCCGCCGTAGTCTGCAAACAATGGCGACATTCAGACAAAGCCACGGAACAAGTGCGGGATGAGAGTGCGGAATACGATTAAGCGCCAAAAGCAGGGTCTAAAATAAGCGCACGACTAAGTACCTCGCCCACAGTCTTGGCGCACGACATGGGGGATTGATGGACTCCCGTGCGCTGTAGCTCACGGGATTGATCATCTCGCCACACTGCAGATTCTGCGTCTAAATGATAATCATTAGGGATGAAACAAACACATTAAGCGTTGTAAAAACGAAATCCAAGGGTACGTGTGCTAGAACTGGGAAGAACCTACAAAATAACAACAAATAACATGTACGATAGTGGTCGTCTTCGTTCATAATCACCATAAGACTCTCACCAGAACTACTCGCGACAACCTGCTTATTGATCAAGTGAGCTGCGTGGACCTCTCGTAGTAGCTGCTCTACGTGTGTATGAGGAGGTAAAAACGACCTTAGGGATGACGAGTGAGTAACAGGAGGATGGATAAGAATAAGTACTCAAAAGGTGCTGGGGCAGGAGAGGCAGTAGAAGGTGGTGTCGAAGAGCTCCGATTGGTTCGTGAACTGGATAGTGCCACGTAGCCCAACCCATCACTGTTTTGAACATAGTGAGCGATGCGATATAAATTTGGAATCAGATAGAGAACAACCGTAATTTATCAATTCAACATGTTGAGAGAGGAAATGTACAGCCTAGGCTTACCGAACCATTCCCGTACGTGGCTGCCTCGGCAGAAGCAGAGTAGCGACAAAATAGGCATGGCCATCGACTTTCCCGCCAGAGTTGGGGTAACCTCGGGGTACCCTCCCGAACTGTAAATCTTTCCGATTGGTCGGAAATTCTCTTACCACGTTGGACGCTTAGTTGGCGGTCTAGGGTGACGTCGCCAGCGTTTTGGGGTAAGCTGCGGGTAGCACAGAGGGAACTTGTGGGTCACCACGTGAGGGTGAACCCGGGGTGTGCCTCATTCCGAAAGTGATTTCGGCGAAGTGAATTTTTGAAGGGCCTTACGACACGTCTATACGATTCCAGGGCAAGGCAGCGACTGATTCCGCTCGCTTTATCTTGTACGATAATCCATGTCGTGTGGCAGTACAACACCTTGACCCCAATCAACGCGAGCATCCAGTGGGGCAACGTGTACGCCCCGCAGGTGAATCGCAAGTGCGTCAGCATCGCCTTCCACCTGTTACAGGGCGAAGGCGAACTCGCCACAGGAAAGTTCGCTCACTAGCGAACTTGTAACTTTCGCCAAAAACCCAACCTGAAATGTGAAATTCAAGGTTGGAAATCCCAACCTGAAATGTGCGCTTCGAGATTCCCCAAAGCACACGTGAAACTCCAACCAGCAAAGCAACCAGAGAAGCATTACGACAACAAGGCAAGAAGACAACGCATGCAACGGCAACTACTTTCCAGCATTACAAGACCCAAGCATTATCATCATGAAGACGAAGACCAAGTCAGCTAGTACCTTTCTAGATCTATCTCATGATTGTATTTTGTATGTTTCTATATAAACAGCTAGGATAGAGCATAGGCTTGTCATCATTGCTTGTACATATTCCGTTCCTTGCTGGTGACAGCTGAGATATGATCAATGGCGGCCTGAACGACCTTCTCAAGGCGCCATAGTCATAGAAGTGTGTATAAGAGTAGTCCTTTGTCCCTTGTATGCCATTCTTGCTTTCTGAAATTTACAGAATTTATGCTACTGAGTTTACCTTGCCATTTTAGACTCTCCAAGCTTTAGCATTCAGAAACTCTAACAGCCTAGAGCTGTTCCAATTGGTATCCGAGCTAGATTACGACTTCCTGCTAGGACCGCGTCATGACGTCTGACTTAGGACCTCCGTCCTCTGAGGATTGGGCTAATTTTTTGCAGAACTACCGAGCCCAAATCGTTTCTGAACTTCGAGAGAGCTTGCAAGCTGAAATTTGAGCCAGTATAGCTGCAGCCGGTTCGGTGGCAGCAGGTGTGAATACTGCTGCACCTTCAGATGGAAATCAGCGCGCTAGACCCGCTATGCCAGACCTCTTCACGCCAGGAAGGTTTCAGCCAGTTGTGAGCCGATGGCTGTTCCTTGTCGAGCAGTACTTGCTGTTGAGCCACGTTGCACCTGCTGAGTGGACATCATTCACGGGAACGCTTCTTCGAGGTTCTGCGATCACTTGGTGGTAGTCCATCTACACCTCTGTTCACACGTGGGACCAGTTTAAGCAACTCTTCATGGCTGCTTTTCAACCAGTGAACCCGGAACTCAAAGCTCGTGATCGCTTGGCTGCCCTCAAGCAACTCAAGTCCGTCCAGCGCGCTTCCGTGATGTTGCACAAGAGATACCTGACCTGTCCACTGCTGAAAAAATGGATCGCTTCAAGCGCGGCCTGAAATCCAACATCCGCATGGAGGTCGAGCTAAGGGACTGCACTACGCTCGAGGAAATGATACGTGTCGCTGAACGGTATGACGCTGTTCATTTCGCATACAAGGCACAATTTCCTCGCAGCCCGTTTCTCCCTTTTGCTCCCTCCCATCAGTCATCATCCTCAGCAACATTCAACCAGCAAGAACCTGCTCCTATGGACCTGGACGCGATGGAGAAGGGCAAGAAACCCGTGAAGAACGATGTCGTCTGCTTCAAGTGTGGCAAGAAAGGCCATGTGTGGAGGTTCTGCCGCGAACGCTCCAGCCGACCACCGTTGCTTCCAACACCAAAAAACAGTCACCGCCAGTAAGCTTGGGGCGACTTTCTGGCAACCTGCAGAGCCCTTCCATCATTTCTCTTGAAAACACCATCCCATCCAACCCTCTTCTCCTTTCCATAAGCATACGGAACCGTACCTTCA